AATTGCCACCCAGATGTGTTAAAAGAAGACCGACATTTCACTCCCCAGCTTATAAACCTAGTTACAGCACACTTGACCCTGTTAATCGTTCGATCCCCCCTAATGATTTATACTAGGTGTAATATGCGGGAACCCCCCTCAGGGATGAATTTATCACTTGAAGAGAGTGAAATAAATGTATACGAACGTTTGTCCTCTACGACATTGTCCTCCGTAAAAATCGTTCTCTGATTTTTGTTCGATACTTGGTCCCAATATCGTCAACGATAGCTTTAGAAACACGCTTTAGAATCCGTGGTCTTTACACGAGCGGTCTAGTAAGAATCCAGAGTACGTTCCGGAGTAATGTTTAGAGAATATTCATCAAGGTCGTACGTAAGTTATCGAGCTCTGCTTGTAAACAGTTGGAATGGAATTAGTTATGGCTCGCCGTCTAGGTTGACGCGACGACGAAACTTGGTGCACCGTAACTCGGAAACAAGGTCGAACGCAACGTACATACGTCTGTGTCGTCGATCGTTATTCATCGATAGCGCCCCGTCTGGGGTGGCGAAGCAACGCTTTATTTTCTCAAAAATCATCTTTAGGCGGTTCCCGTAATGCGTTGAAATAGAAGCAGAAACCAATCGCGACTTTCGAGCGTTGAACTTTCGACGGGCTGGCGGATGTCTTTACATTATGCTCGCGATCGTGAATATAGAACGAGGCGGTTCCACGAAAGTTAAGGAGAAATCGTTGATGGGATGTCTTAACGTAATGATTCCTTCGGACGGAGAAACGTTAATACATGGTGCGGCAGAAAATTTCACTTCTGAGTTGTATTCGTCCTAGCACGAAAGCGCTTCAAGTTTGAAATTTTTTCAAAGTTCCGTTCGATTCTTCATTAAAAAAGGTACGAAAATGTATTTGTTTCAGAATTTTCCAACGTTCACGTCGGTTCGCGCTTGATTTTCTCATTAGGCAGCGTGTACCACCGATGGGTCGCGCGGATATGTTCCATCGAGCGGCGTGTACCACCGGTGGGTCGCGCTCGCGTGTCCATCAGGTGGCGTACACCACCGCGCCGCCCCGTGGTGAGAAGTACAAATAACAGCGCCCGCGTGAATGTGCTAAAAATAAAGCGAAAATATAAAGTTGCGAAAAAATAAAGTTTTTATGGTATTTTATTAAGAGGTCTTCGAATAGCCAAGACCTCGTTTCATCGGGTTACGAGACCGAGAAGAGTAAACAAACATGGCGAGAATAAGAGAAGCGAAAGATCTGGAAGCAGTGGAAGAAGTTTAACGAGCAATTATTAATGTCTTTGCCGAGTAATTCTTGGAATGGTCCACTTCCGCAAATTTATCGTTGTTGCAATTACGAGAATACTGCGAGCACATAACCTTTTCCTTAAATAACTTCTTTCTTAGATTGCCTTTCCTATACGACCTGTTCGATAAATAACCTCCTTCGTAAACGAAGGGATATTCATAAACGAAGGTATACTCGTAAACGAAGGACGCCGTTTTCTTTTTTAATCCATAATTTATGCATTTCGAGCATCTCGATCGGAAGGTTTTGCAAGAATCGATAATTACAAACACCCGTTAGATTTACGGATAGCATTATCCTTATTCGAATGTCGTGCCATGAAAAATGGCGCCGCGGTAACCGAAACATTACTGTCAGTCATACATGAATGACGTGACAATCAGTGTTTTAACACGTTCGTGTACATTGCATACTTGGCATGTATTCGTACGAAATTAAACCGACGCGAAATTAAACCGACGTAGAATTACCAACCGCGCACTCTTAACGATACGCGGGTGCTTTCCTGAAGAGACAAATAAAAAAAAATCAAGTTGGCCGTTAACCCTTTGACGAGTTTTTTTTGGAAATTTTTCTATTTATAATAACTCCTGAATAATAAAGATTAACACCATTGGACGAACAAATTTTGCTTTGAATAATTTTTGAATTGAATAATAAATAATTTATTTCAGAGGCCATTTTGATCGCACTTCTCAACCATTTCTTTTACGGAGTTAATCGATTTGTGCAACGAACGGCTCAATTATCACGTTCGATCAGCCTCGTTGCAGAGTAACAGGGGAAAAAAAAGGTGCACCTTTTTCTATAATGGGAATCATCCGTTCCCACCGAAAATACTTCCTTTATATTCTCGTGAAAAGAAGGATCGCGCCAACACAGGTTGCCGCGAACCTCTCATTCAGCTCTTTGTGCAGAGAAAATTTATTGTAATGATAACGCAAGCTCCTCCGTGAAAGGGCGAATATGTACCGTTTCCCATTGTCATCGACCGTATATGCCCACAGGAAATCAGGCCAGTCGCAGGCGTTCCCGTCGACAGTATCTGCTCGCGTTTCCGCCGGAACCACGAGCGTTTCGGGTGCCATTAATTACGCCCATTGAACCCTCGCCTTCGAATTCTGGACCGCGTGTTGTATCTCGCACACGCCGGCTGCCGTTGAAGCGATCTAGACCTTGGGCTCTGCCCGAGACTTATCGACAGTGCCAGCACTCCTGCCAACCGAGGAGCACTCGAACGCGAGAACCCCGGCCAAAATTACTACACAGAGCAAGAAAATTAAAAAAACGCGAGGTCCGCTTGTTCGTTTTCGAGGCTGAATCCATCTCTGAGGTTTTATTAGAGTCTTTCTCCGCTACGTATCGATTATCCCGCGTTTAAGATGGATTTCAGAGGAAACCGACCGTTAACGGCTCTGGCACGGAGCGTTTCGCGTTCGCGAACGTCGCGAAGAATCGTTTGGACGGATTAGGTTGGACCTTGGCAGCGGTATTCGCGGCGGTCAAACGTGGGCGAGGTAATTCAGTTATGGAAAAATTGGCCTAACGACAAGATTGTCTTCGGAGACTTCGGTACATGGACAGAAGTAAATACTCCGTTCGATATCCTTTAATTTCGCTCTTCTGGTACTGTTGAAAGAGGAGGTTCTTACACTAATTCTGGGACACCTTGTATATGACTAGAAACTTGTTCCAAGAGATTCCAACATCAGGACGCCTGTCTTTTCCATGTCCTGGAGGAACCCATAACGTCCATACTCGCTCGAACGCAGTCTGTTCTTATCCACACGTCGATCGAACGAAATTAGGATAACCTGTTGAGCCCCTGACACTCGTTCCCAGACGCTACAAGACTCACCGCGTTCCAGAAACCGAATCAAACGAGCAGCGATCGCATCATAATCGCTGAAAGTGGACACGCAATCGGTCGGCGATCGATAGCGATTGCCTGCGAGTTGTGTTGCGTTTAAACCGATAATGTAAATGAGGATTTAGCCTATAGATGATTGGGCTGAAATAGTACTATCGATATATTCCACCGTCTAACTATGACTGGATTGTAGCGGTGCACTCCCAGGCATGGGAGTCGGACCATCCGACCTCGTCGGATCAATCACTGCAAATTAATCTGTTGTCCAGTTGCGCAACGCCGATCAACAATTTGCCCTGTCGCTCCGCTCGTCAAAGATTTGAACCCTCGTGTCACTGCGACGATTAAAAATTAGAGGAACTAGCTCGGAGCTTGGTCGGTATAGAGTTTCATCTTTGGTACGCTTATTCCGCCAGTAAACGCCAGGTGGGACGAGAGCACGCATTATGTCTCCGCTCGCTGCTGTTTGCGTTTTACTTGAAATACCTGAGAGGACTGGGTTTTTTCGGGCAAGCTAAATATGCATACGGCTCGTCTCGCCTACCACTCCAGCCGGTGTTTACTTTAATGTTAAAGGACGCTCTGTCGCTCCGGGACAGGGAGATGTTTATGTGAAAAGTTTCCCCTGGAGTCGCGCGCGCGTTCACCTTTTACACCGGCTGCCCTTTTTGTCCGTCGGTTTACGCGAAACTACCCCTTAAATAAACGGGAAGGAGTGTCTCCGTTGTTCGGAGTTCAGGATTGATGCGGCCGCAACTTTTAATTACCCCCGTGAATCGCGAAATACGTTTTTTCTCTCCGCGGTGATTAATATTAATAACGCGGCACGTGGATCGCATAGGTTCAGAAACGTGAGAATTTACTCGATCGGGGACTTCACCAGGCGATGAGTTACGCAAGAGTTTCGCGTTGCCAACTTTAATTAGTTATGGTGTCCTCGTAGACGGGGGAAGATGATACACGCGAGCTTAGCGGGCTTTCGGTCTCTAGCTTCGTTTTATAAAATCTTTTCTTTCCACTCAGGTTTAACGCATTGTCGATCTGTCGCGAGTTGACTCGTGTATTCGCGTTGAAACGTTGTCGACCGATCGCTAGTAAACTCGTGCTTTGCACTTGCATTATCTACTTCAATTTTTGAAACCCAGGGCTTTTTTTTGTCTTTGTTTTTTATTTTAAGGTGAATGGGAACTGTAGCCCGATATTTCACCACTGTTGTGTTTGTTCGTTTCCAATTTCTATTTTCTTTTAATGTCTTTTTATTTGTCCATTGCTTATCTTATGCCGTATATAGACCTTTCCATATTTTGTTAACCTACTCTAATCCAAGCATGAAAGAAAAACCGGAGTGGGACAGCCAGGATTCGAACCCGGGATCTCGCGGCGTGGTAGTCGGCTACGCTACTCACTGCTCCACTGTCCGTCCTCTTCAGAAAACCCAGAAGTAGAAGTTTAGCCCTTCGGGGTCATCCGGGGTCAAAATGACCCCAAGCGCAACTTTAAGATAGAATTACTATAGGTTATTAATTTTATGAAAATGTATTAAAAATTGCCTGAGTTGTGATTTTTGTTAGTAAAAAAATTTTTGTACGCATTGTCTCCTTGCTGGACATTCAATTACGAAATTGTTGGATAGCACAAGCTTGTTTCTTTTGGAAGCTTGTTACAGACAACTCTATAAGATGATATAAGACCAATATGGACGGCTAGATCTTACAAAATTTTGAAAAATTCAGTAAACAAAGGATTAAACTTTATTTGGAATTGATTTACATATTTTATTCCGGTCAACAATCCGTTAAACAGAGAAACGTTCATTTAGACTTAGACCTGACTACGTCGAGCTCCGACGTCTGGATGTAAATCCCGCTATGGAAAGCTCCGATAGCTAGCGAACCGAAGTGTAACCGCAGGTGCATCCGGAGGCTCCGAGTCATCATGCACGTGGACACTCAGAACCGTCAGCGCTTGATCCTCCCCGTCGGCTGCAGGAACTTCAAATCCGCGTTTCGGGAGCAACAGACTATACCCTGAACCGTGTTGCGGCGTCTAACATGCTCCCTGGCCGTGCCTTCTGGAATGGAAGTCAGTGAGCCACCGGAGGATGACGTGGACCTATCGTTGGGCAGGATCGGCGCTACTACGGGGATCGATCGTTTCTCGGAGTCGCTGAACACGACCGTGAGCGACACGTTGGAAGCGGTGACCGCCTCAGGGGACTCTTATCATCAGCCTAACGTGATCTGGACGGTGATAAAGGGCGTGGTGATAATCAGCATCATCGTTACGGCGCTGATAGGGAATGCGTTGGTGATCGCCAGCGTGAGACGTCACAGGAAGCTACGCGTGCCCACCAATCGCTACGTGGTCAGCCTGGCGGCGGCTGACTTCCTCGTGGCCGTCTGCGCGATGAGCTTCAACGCTTCCGTGGAACTATCCGGCCGCTGGGTTTTCGGCCGGGTCATGTGCGATCTGTGGAGCTCCCTGGACGTGTACTTCTCCACGGCGTCCATACTTCACCTGTGCTGCATTAGCGTGGACAGGTACTACGCCATCGTCAGGCCGCTAGAGTACGCGGCCATCATGAAGAGGGTCACCGTCATCTGCATGCTGGGCGGCGCGTGGCTTCTCCCAGCTCTCATCAGCTTCATCCCCATCTTCATGGGGTGGTACACCACCGACGAACACCTGGACTACCTCAGCAAGAATCCTGAGGTAAACACCGGATGATGTACAGTCGGTCCTATAAGTATTCGTACCCCCTGTGTCTGTCGAAGACGTTTGTCTAATTCAGGGCTTCTCGAACTTTTTTCATTCGCGACACCATTTATGATTGCGATTTTTCGCGCAACCCAAACAATATAAAATAAACAATACTTGAATATTTTGTGGTGATTTATCGTTCAGGTAATGGTATATACACATATGAAAGAATATAGTTTGAGCATTTGTTTAAAAACATACAAAAATATGAAATTAAAGTTGCGCAATAAGTTGTACAATTTTATTTGATATAGTTACAAGAATTATATACCCTATTTTTTGTCAAAACTACATTTTTTGGAATAACAAAATTAAAAGAGAATATTGAAGAAAGTATTAAATATCGTATGATACGTTAAAATCTGGAGACCGTAAGATTTCGTTGAGCGACCCATTGGGAACATTTTTGGAACACCCTGTATACTAGGTCTACCAGAAAGTTCTCTCCGTTTTTAAAATAACACATAATAATAAATGTCTCATACCTTGAATAAATTTTATTGAATAATATAATTTTTATCATTATTTGTGACATCTTGCCAGCGTGATTGCAATTTATATATCATTTTTCACGAATATGAAACTTGTTGTGACTGGAATGGACAGAAGTTCCCGGTAGACCTAATATTTATAACGAAAAGTTTATTTGGAATCGTCGAACCAATCATTTAATTTTGACGAATTTCTTCGGTAGACATAGCGGCTACGAATACTTATACTGATTGTATCTGTTTAGTAGGGGTTGGGTTAAATAAAAACCGAGAGCGAGGATTCTTTTTTAAATACGACGATTCTTGGAGGGTGGTATACGATGATCGGTACGAAGCAACAGCGGAGCTCGTTCCCTAAATTGATTTTCTTGTAAATTCGTATGGAAATTTCCCGTTTCGCGTTACATACGAGGGAATTCGTAATTCGCACTCGTTTCAGTGTTAACCTCGTTGTCGAGTGGCACTCGACAAGCGCAACGTTCAATTTACTCATTACAGTTGATAGAATATTTTATCGGATATTTACACTTGGATCGCGCAAGGCTGAATTTCAATCCGCGGAAAATCGAACGGGGAACGGAACGAAAGGAAACGACGGGCAAGATGAACGGCCTTCGGAATTTGCATAGAGATGATTTAGTATCTGCCTCTTATCCGAGCGTACTATAAACGGAAGCTGGCGATTAATAGCTTTAATAATTCTCCGTCCAGCACACACGCTGCGTACCTTCGCACGTTACAGTGCTTCCCAATTCTCCGCATCTATTTTCAATCTCTCTATTTTCAATCTCTCCGCCATCTGTCTGCAACTTTTCCGAAACGCGAAATTAAAGTCTAATTCTTTATGGAAGAAAGTGCGGCGCTAGGAGAAGAGCAGGGCGAGAAATGCGACAAATTTCAGCGTGGAAAGACCCCGCCATATTTCCTCGCCTCTATCGCGTTTCGGACGAGATTGCGAGCATCTTCTCGCCTCCAGTTGCGCGATGTTTCTTGTTGAACCGCAGCTAGCATAGTTCCCAAACAACACCGTCCGTTATTATATCCAAAGTCATACTTAGTTGTTTTATAGCTTCTCATCCGGTGTACCACCACTTAGAACTTCGGTTATACGTCCTGCGCGAACAGACGCGTACGAAAACACGGTGGCGCGCATATGTTATCGTAATTTTGCCCGCGCGAAATTGCAAGGGAGGGAGGGGAACAGAACCGAAGGAGGCTGCCGTTGAATTTATTACATTCCCCGGGAATTTCCACGAGTGTTTCTTGAACATCGTTACGCTGAACCGTTTCCGCTTATATGAATTTTTCCCATTTTTATTCGACCTTTTAACAGTTTCAATTTTTGGATTGTAAATTTCCTCCTCTGCGATTTCTGTTGTTACGTTGCTTACTTTCCATTCTTTTCAATTTACGTGGTTCCGAATGTAATTATACCCTTGCTCTCCGGCTGAAATTGAAGTATATCAAAAACGGCGAAGTTTGTTCGCTTAAAAATTCTCAAAAAAAAAAAAAAAAAAAATAAAAATATTAGGAGTGCGCGTTTGTGGTGAACCGAGTATACGCCGTGGTGAGTTCGTCGGTGTCGTTCTGGATACCGGGCGTCGTGATGATCGTGATGTACTGCAAGATCTACAAGGAAGCCGTGCGTCAAAGGGAGGCGCTGAGCCGTGCCTCCAGCAATACCGTCCTAAATAGTGTTCACTTGCACCGCGCGTCCAGCTCGAGGCATCATTCCAGGGCGTCTCATCAATTATTGCTGCATCCGAGCGATGCCAGCGACTTCGGGAGGCCTATGTCTTACAGAACCGCCGCGGAGCTCAACGTGGAGAACGGTGAGTGGCATTAAAAAGAGAGCGAGAAGAAAAAAAAGATACGATACAACGGCGTCGGAACGACTGCCGCACCGTTGCGCCGACGTGATTAATTTTATATTAACGTCGAGCTGCTTTTTATGTATCGTTTAACGCGTTCGAATTGATCAGGGAGATAAATCGAGCGGAGACTGTAATTAGAGGTCGGCCGGGGAAACTTTCGTCTGTTACGGTGCGAAACGTTAACTCGAAGTACGATCTAAATTTATCGTTCAAGGTGTAATAGAATATTAATATAAAGAATGGGGAAAGAGTATGGAAATCCCTAGAAAACTCGCGGGTCTAGTGATTAAACAAAAAAAATACAGGTCACGCCTTTGGTGATTTTCAAGAAATCTTCTCGTTATCAAGAAAACAAGTTGACCTTGAAAATGAGAATTCAAGGTCAAATACAAGGTCACCATTGGATTCCTCGTTGAAAGGTACCTAAGGCGTGACCATTGCTTTTTGTTTTGTCACTGGACTCGCGAGACTTCTAAGAGTTTCCTTTAAGGGCGCGCGATTTATTCTCTCGAGTAATCGATTTATTCGAGTATTCGAAGTTCGAGTCGAATTATGGTTGGTCTGTCTAGCCGAGTCGAGTGTTTGAAAATTCCGAGCTATAGGAAAGCCTCCATAAATGCACAAACTCGGGACCGACCTAGTGCATTTATGGTAGACTTCGTACATTCTCGCATTAGGAGATTAATATTTGGAAGGGATTTCCATGCTTTTTCTAAAAGAAAACATCTGGGAAGGTGAACCTCTCCGTTTTTACCAATCTTATTTCCGTTTGTTATGTTTTTTTAACGTTTCCTCTATACCAGCTTGTCGTTTGCCTCTTTTCCATTGCCACCGAAACTCGATATTTTCGTTTCGGGCGTCGCGCGTCCGCGTTATTTACAGAAAATCGCGAACAAAGGACGCCTGTTTGTTACGTGTTCGCAACTGTCAGCGATCGTTAAGAAACCAATGCTTCTTTCACGCTTTTAGAAACCCAAGTCGCGAGGCACGCCTGGCTCTAGTATCGTTGCAATCATTTGCACACGTCCGTGATACTCTGGACGTGTTCGGTATTTTTAGAGCGTCTCCTGGGAACTTGTTTTACGAGACACTTATTAAGTGGTTATTTTGAAACAACGTTAGAAAATAGAGAATCGTCGAACGTCCGAGGTAGTGTACTCGTAAATAACGATTTCTTTTAAATATATATCCCCGATACTTTTTACCGCGATAAATCTGTTATCGCGTACGACGATAATATTTATTTTAACGAAATATTTCCCAAGACAGATAGTAAAATATCTGTTTCCTTTACCGAAAAAGTTTCCGTCTTTCTGGACTTAAACTTGCCCGATAAATTTTCGGAAGCTTTCGCTTTGCAGTTTCTTCGGTAATGAAACTCCTTCCGCTGAAAATTCACTGCAAAACGAAGCTGCAGATTTTTCACCTCCATCCCGGCGACAAGACTCCTGTCCGTCACGAGCATTCCGTAAATTGGAACATAAATAAACGTCGAAAGACATCGATGGTTGAATCGAAATCGAAGCGAGGGATACAAGAGTAAAAGAAATCGTCGATCGCGCAAAATGAACGTCTGCGGTTGGTTGTAACGTTCGCTTCCATTCGACATTCGGTACCGTAAAAACGCGTTTAAGTGCGGTCAATTATCGCAGGGCAGAAATTACACGTGTCCGAAATGATCGAGATTGATGCTGTATGTAATCTTTCTGCCATTTTCGATGCACGTCAAGGTTGCCGGTAGCGACGGTCGTTTCGTTGTCTGACAAATTTTTTTTACCAATTCAATTTATTTTCCCCAAACGTCCAATCGTGTCGCTTTAAAAATTCGATCGCAATTTTAACAGAAAGAAAAGACTACTCTGCGACAACCCGAGAGACAGCGCCGTACTTGCATTTTATTTGATCGTTTTTCGACAACGGTTTGCCAACGTTGAACCGAACGCGTTTTGCGTCCGTCGCTGAAATTCCAGCCTAATTTCATTCCTCGGTGAAATTTCACGGTAATTTGTCGAGCCAACCGCGTAAAAAGCGGCCCTTGGTGCGACGTCCAAGGAGAAACTCTCGAACCATTGCGAAATGAGTCGAATGGAAATAATGATTCGCTCACGGTTTCCCACTGGACAATTAGAGTATTCGTATGCAACGTGTCGCGACCTAAAACGACCAAAATATAAAACGAATATTCCCTTCGGACTTAAAAGAGAATTTTAATATAGTTTTTTTTTTAGAAAGTTGTTCATTCCAATATCCAGAATTTATGAAGAAAATTACAATTCAATCTGGTGGCCCGTGAACGATGAATAAAAGTGGTAGTTTTTCTCGCGAGACGTCTGGCAGCGGTGAAAAGATGGGCCAGGAATGTGAAGTTATATCTCAAAGATGGCCGACCATCCATCCGAATGACGCGATGATCAGCGGCTCGCAACGAGAATTTTTCTTTTCGTTGGAGATCGCGGCGCGCAGGTGTTGCACGGCGATAATGGACGCAATTTGTTAGCGAGACGGTAGACGGGTTTCTTACGTTATACTTAATTCAATTTTCGTTTTGCCTTCGCCAGGTGTGCAGTGGTTCGAAGTCGCAAATAAT